GTAACAGCTGTTTTTGAGAAAGTAAAAAGTAGAGCACTTTTTAGTAAGTTTTCCCCCAGTAAACATGCACAGTGCAGGGAAGCATGCACAATTAAAGGGGTATGGATTAGGAGCATTTCTTGTATGGAACACTCATACACATAAGTAAAGCTCTCCTAAGCTCTCTTTGTTTTTCTTCTCACATTTCTCATGTCTCCTGATAACTTAAGGTCCAGTATTTGCAAATCTCTGGAAGCACCTTCGATATGAAAACAGGTCTTCTTTCATTACTTTTCACCCTACAGGGGGAGCAAAGGCATATAAACTCTAAAATGAGAATTGCAGATTTTAGTAATTGAAGAGTTTGGGCTGACAGGGGGTATAATGTTTATACTACTAAACTGTAAATTCAGAAATACAGAAAATATATAATATTTCCCTGTCCTTTGAGAACATTCATGTCTAGCAGATGGTTCCAGAGGGTTTCTCATTTTTTACAGGAACTACAAGAAAATAATATGTCACAAAACAAGAGGAACTCTGGCTTTCAGAACTTACCAGCAGACTATTAAATAAGCTCCGAAAGCTCTGTTGTACATAATACATTTTGTCAAAAGGCACAGTATTGTATATCCATCAGCATCTAAGGCTACAACTGGAAAATGAGAAGTTGTCAAAAGTTTCGAAAGTACAGGCATCGGAAGTAAGCTTTCATGTTGTTAATTCTAATTACTTATTTTTTCTACTTTTTTATCTGCATATTGTTATTTGAAAGTACGTTGTTTGGATTCATTGTTGAAGAGAAATATAACAGTGCAAGCTTTTCCTTGCATGTTGTGTAGCTTTCTCTTTCAGAGTTAGCAGGTGACCGAAATGGGCCTGACAGTCTAGCGATTCCAATTTGCTGTATTTTACAGATGGAAACACTGCAGTTTTGATTCAAACTGATGGGAACAAAAGCTGAAAGCTCTTTGGTAGAGGGTCCTCAACATTTTGTTGCTGTATGAACACCTTGTATTCAAGAGAAGCAGCAACAAACCACAGGGAGCACTGGTAGTGAGAGAGAAAGCAGTACTCTATGGCTGAAGCTCCATCTCATCTAAAGTGTTGGGAAAAATGTAGTGCAAATGTAGTAAACAAGTTGTTCTGTGCTGACAGCCTTTCGTTATTCAAAAAGAAACAGTTTAAGGGTTTCTCTTGTATATTCAAGCAAAGGGCAGTTTACTCAAAACTTTCCTTTTTAATATCTATAATTATTTAAAAAAGTAATTACAAATTAACCTCTACTGTCCTTTGTGCGGACACACAAAAACAGGGTAGTAGAACACGAGCTAAAAAAGCCAGTAGTCTGTTTTACTTACTAGTGTGAAAAATTATTCTGTGCTGTCACAAAAGACATGTGGTGTGCTTTATGGTTTCCAACAGGCATCACAGTTAATGGCAGCTAGTAGGAAATGAACAAATGGAGTTTAAAGGCAGAATTAGTTTGCTGTAATGTAGACATTTCATCAGTTTTCAAAGTTATGATAGTGTGGCCTGGCATGCAGTCTAAAGACTCTCTTTTTGAAGAGCAAAACTTTGATTGTGTGTAGATAAGAATATTTATCTTTAATCTTTTTTTTTGTTAAAAATCCTTTTGTTTGAAATTTTGGGGGAAAAAAGCTTTAACTAGAGCTTTTCAAATAGTTCTGTCATGCATCTTGTAATGCTTCTACCGTTTACTTTTGGAGGAGCACAAACTGAATAACAAATTAAATAACAGGCTTAACAAAAGGATTTAGATAAATATACACTGTAGCATTTTGTTATGGTTTTTGAAAAAAGCCTCTATATCTAAATAAAATAGGACGAGGAAACTGTGCTTTGATGTCCTGTATAATGGTGGAAGTAAAGTGCAGCTTTCCAATGCTTTTATCAGGTTATACTATTTAAAAACTGAACTATTATTAGAAGGACTTTATGTGAACAATGCTGGTACAATAAAAAACAACATTTTTTTTTTGTTTTTTGTTTTTAGTATATCTACTGTTGCTGAAGTACTGTTACTGTTGCTGATACTGGATACATATTAGACCAGAAAGGCATGTGACTAAGCTCTTCTAATATACTTTGCATGTCACAGGAATCTGGGTCCCCCATTACTCTAATGATAAAGAAAGAGTTAGTGTGACTCACTTTTTGATAGCGTACTACTCTATCTAAACAGAATGTTTATGTCATGTGCCATTGCTTTTGCTGCAAATTAAACAATTCAACAGGAGATTGAACACACATTATAAAATGTCCCATAATGTCAACACTACAGAACTTTATAAAGCCAATGTGTTGACAGTTTTTCTTCCTTCTGATCTGTATTCAGGGCACATCATTCCATCATTCCTTCAATTACTGTTACATTTACTCGTGACTAGTTTACTGTGTTTACGATCATCTTTACAGTTGCAGGCTAGTCAGATGTTTCGTTTTTACATGTTGTTTACAGAATGTATTGGAGTTTTGGAGATAAGGTTGTGAAAATTGTCTTATCTGAGTCTTGTTCTGAATTCACCCAAATCCATAGATCCTAAATTGTTGTTTTTTTTTTTCATTTTGAAGCACTTCAATGATTGTAATAATGAAAATTACAGTATCATTCCCTTTTGAAATCTCTATGCACAGTGAAGTAATTGATGGAAAAGGCACACTTTTGTATTAGAACTTTGATCTCCAAATTATACAAAATATATGCCTGGCAACATTGCTGTTGCTATACTGCTATATAGCTGTTGAAAAACTACAAAAATTGTTGCATTCCCAATATTTTCTCAATATTTTATTTTTCTACATACAGTATATCAAAAAGTCACTGAACCGATGCTAAATTATAGTTAAACATATTTTGCACTGGTAATTCATTAAATTCAAATGCAATTAAAAGTGTAAACCTTTCTCCTTGAAAATTAAATTAATTTGATTTTTACTTATTGGGGAGCATCCCAAGTCATAATTACAAAAAATATCTGAAGCTGTTTCATTTCAAGGTAAAGAAAGCTAAATACCAGAAAAAGTATACAAGGTCCCTGTTATCATACTAGACAGATAAAATATTCACCTTTCTGGTAAAGGATAGTTCCACAAAATGTGCATCAGATGTACACTTATAGTAAGTTACTTTATGCCCTGATAAGAACACATACAACATCATATTGCAACTTACATATACTGTACTGTACATGTTTGAAATTTATATACTAGTTTACAGAATGACATTTTAATTTCACGTCAATAGGTAATTTAAATGTATCTGTCTATCTCCCTTCAAATACAAAATTAAAAGAACCACTGGCCAGCAAATGGTTATAAAATATATCGTCCCCAATGGATTAAAACATTATCTCTGAAAATGGCAAATTCTTCAAATTCAATTTTTCGAAAAATGCCTGTTAACATTCTCACTGTATCTTTTTGACTGGTGACCCAACTGGTCTCTTGTTTCCTGTACAAGCTGCATCTGTGCAGCTGTTTCTAAGAGCCACCTGTGCGACTGGATTGTATTGAAACAGCTCAAGGGTTATTTCCTGCTATATGCTTCACTGACACAGGCGTTAAGCACAACATGTCCGATTCACCACACAGCGAACATTAATAGAATCAGTGGGACAGGCTGATAGGGGTGATGCAGTATTTCAAGGAAGGAAGTAGAAGTATCACTGCGAAGTTTTATGTAATAATCAAAATATTCACAAGAAGTCGTGTGTGACTATCTTTAAAACCATCTGAATATCTGAAATTGTCTTCCGTTATGAGATCTACCATAAAAAAAACTTTATGCATGCACTCTCACACAAATATAACTGAAAGCTGGTTCTTGGAAAATATATATATTTTGGTTTCATTTTTGTTATAAAAATAATGGCATGATAGATTGTTAGTATCATAAAACTATCACTTTTAATGTGTTAATTTACTATTTAATTTGTTGAGCTTTTTCTTCTTATTGGTAAGCATATGATGTGTGCTATTGCACAGGTCGTTGAGTTTCTTGAAAAACTATCATTCTTGTTGTTTTTATCATTATCAATACAAATAATATGATACTATCATGAGATCTGCAGAAAACATTCTCCTTTTTTCAGAATGCAAAATAAATAAAATGTATATTGATAGCACATGGATAACTAACTCCAGTTAATTATTAAAATATTTTATTTTAGGCATTTACTTGGTCCTGTTTTGTAATAGTTGACTTGTAAATATAGAAGCCAAGATACTCTTAAAACAAAGGTATAAGGTTTTATTTTTACCATCTTGTTCTTTGGAAATGAATGACTATCAGAATGATCACTTTTTTCTGAAATAGCATGCACTGCAATTCATAAAGCATGTCGGTGCTGATCTAAGCGAAGGTTTTATATGTAGTAAAAAAAGACGATGAATCACTTAATGTTCACTGAATGATTCATCTGCAGCACTACTGTAAATATTTTCTTAACCAAATGATTTTCATATCCTGGCAAATAATTTCAGTAACACCTGTGTTGTTTCCGAAAAAGACAATTACAAAATGTTTACATGCACTTGATTGTCCTGAGTTGTCAAAAATGCCTTTGCATCTAAAGCCAAGCACCCATATTGCTTTTCCTTACTGATACAATATATTACATTTCCAAATTGCTCTGCATTTCACATATCCTGGAAACATGGAGACTCAATGCAGACTTGCACGGGATAGCAAAGATGAGTAAATCCTAGCATTGAGAGACATCACAAGCAAATACTCAATTAATATACTGATTCGTGGGGATTTCCCAGGTCATTCCCCATCTCAACATGCTGGTTCATCTTTAGAGAATCAAATTGGCATTTGTTCAAGACGTTTCGTCTCTCTTTTTCTGCCCCCTTGGAGAATCTCTATTTACCGGATACCTGCTCTGGACCTAGTTTCTAGTTTCCAGTTTCCCATGTGTGTCACCAGAATGCATTGCTTTGCAGTGAGCTCATTCGGCACTCGTTTTTAAGAGTCTGATACTGCTGTGTTTCAGGGTGGCCCTGTGGTTCCTGCTCCTGGGATGGCACCCCCTCCCGGCAACGCTGTTGGAAGACCTGAGGATGAGCTTGAACGCCTGACCAAGAAGATGCTGTATGACATGGACAACCCTCCATCTGAGGAGTACTTTGGTAAGAAAATAACTTAATGCAGAAAATGTTAAATTGATTGGTTATTTGGATTAGCAAAAAAGAGCCAGAAATTGGCTGGAATTGGAATTGTCATATATGTACAGTATATATTGTACAGAATCACTTTTGTTGCAAACCAATATAGATCACCACCTCAGAATGACAGATTTCTTTTTGTATCTGAGGAATGCTGATTCTAAGTACACCAATGTATTGTTCTTGTAGATTTATAAATACAGCAGTTGGGCAAGCAAAACGTTAGTTTAACAAGATTAATCAACTGAAGAAAGTTCACACTTGGTTGCCCATACAGTGTTTAAACAGGCAGCATAAAATCACAGTGCGACACATACTTTAAAATAAAGTCAGACCAACAAGCACAATAACATACATAATGGCTAAGGTTAAACAAAATTTGCAGACTAAGCATCGTTTAACAAAAGGAAGTCATTCTCACATTACATACAGTATGTGACGTTGGAATTTAAGTGTAAAAGTGTTTGACTCCACTCCATCGTGTGTCAGGGTAAGTGGATCAAGATTTCGTTTACTTTAGGTTTTTAGGATAAAATACTGCCATGTTTCTGGCATCATTCCAGTAAGTGATATGTAGTACATGAAAATATTTACATTCCTCTTCCTACAGAAGCAATGGCACATTGAACTAGTGTACTATAAGTTTGAAATGTGCCACTGCATGTCTTAATATTGTAGTCTGCTGTAATCCTTAAAAGTTATTCGAGTTTTCTGAGATACTATCCTCAGAAATTATACCTCTCAGCTCTAGTACTGTACACATTCTGATTAATTTTGCAGCACACTCAAATCATAATGACCTACCATACTCTGCAGTGCAGTCAACTTTCTGGGAAGTGAATTAAAATATTACCAGTCAACATCAATGCAGTCCTTTAGTTAAGTAAAGAAAAAATCAAAGAATAATCAATGTCTTTAGTCCAAGAAAGAAAGATAGATGTAATTTATTAATTGTATATCTGAGACCTACTGTACTGTATATGAATCCACTTGGTGTGTCAAGATTCAAGCCAGTGTTACTGGATATGAACATAAGAAAAAATCAAAGAAGAGGACACAATTTGACCCATCTTGCTCAGTTCAGGATTTAAATGAAAAAATCCATCTACTATAGCTGTCTTTAAAGAGTCCAGAGTGAATTCCTGCCTAGTTTCCAGGTTTGACCCTGTACCCTAATTTAACTGCTGAGTGTGAAATAGTCCCCTAGGTGACCCTGTCTGTCCAGAGCTGTTCTGATCCATAAAGAATTGTTCTTTTGTGAGCTCTGTGACCCCAGTTCTAGTTTAAATACTCCTGTAGGCATAAAATTCCCCAATATGTCAATGTCCTTCTGGTTCGTATGCAACCTGTCCTGCTATACAGATCTGATTTGTTCCAGAAGGCCCTACTCTTTGTTCCTAAACAGACCAAACATGCCTCAGGGGGGACCTCAGACTGGGCACCTGACAGGCAACTATCACTCCTATACACATTACACTCTCTGTGACTCTAATAAATGTGTCTCCCACTATAACTACCTCCCTTTTACTTGGGGAGTGGGATCCTTGGTCCTTCTGTTTCTGTTAGGCTATCAGTACTTAGATCTCTCCTCTCGTGAAAGGCCAGGGGGTGGTTGGACAAAGCAAGATCTGAGGATGATACCCATCTGTGTTGTGCATGACCTTGCAGCTGCAGCGTAAGATAACCCAGTTCTCTCTCCCTCACTGGTCTGAAGCCTCCTGGCCACCTACACGTGGTGTGCACACAGTTTCCTTGTACCACATGCCAACTAATTCCTGCTCTGCTAACTGTGATACAGCAGAGATTCTCTATCAGGACCTCCAGGTCATGGATATTGGACTAGCTGACAGCATACACAGACAAACTCGTCTCAACGTCTTCATTCAGAAAGAGGGTTTTCTTGCAAACCACACACTACATTGTCCTCATATTGCTGTGACTTTTGCCTATTAATTAAATTCCTTTAAATTCTAAAATTATATTGTTATATTACTATTATTAACCTAGCTCAAGGCAAGATGTAGATCGTGGGTGGTTAATTCTGGTCTGGAGGGCTTGTGGGTCAACAGGTTTTTTAGGTCTCTTCTGCAGCACCTGAAGAGCTGGTGACACACTGGCCCTCCAGGACAAGGATAAGACACCCCTGATTGAGTTGTTTGTGGTGATGGATCATGTTGCTAGGAGTGACACCTGAAGATCTCAAAAATAATTTAGGCTTGCTGAGATTAGGCCTTTAAGGCTAGAAAGGACACTGCCAACATTTGATGGTTGCAAGTCTTAGCAGATCTGTGTAAAGGAAAAGATATCTAAAAGTGTTCAGTTGGTTTTGTGGCAAACCAGTCACATTGTAATGCTGCGTACAGCAATATATTTATCCTTTTTTTCTACAGGTAAAGTTAAAATAGTCAGTAGTGGCAGATTATGAAAAAACCTACAAATGCATAAAATGTTCTTTTTTCATGATTGAACTGCATTTGAGCTGTACCATGAAGAAGTTCTCATAAGGATTCAACGTGGTACAGATTTACGTTCAGGCTACAGACACTTTTGTAGAAAAGCAAAGGAGTAGCTCTGTTTTGCCTAAGCCACAAGTCTTGATTTTTTTTTACTTCACAATTTCAGATAGGCAGTCAAGATTTGTTAAATGATACTCAGGTTTACAGTATGTGTTCTAATTTATGTGCTGATAAAAACAAACAGGATTAAACCTAATATTAATTTATACTTTTACACTGATTTGTTAACCCAAACAACCTAACAGGGTGTTTTAAATTATTACAAGCTCCAGGCTCTAATGAGAACTGTATGTGTATTACAGCAACTGTGTGAAGGTACAAAGTGACAGAAAAGGGTTCTTGTGGATGACTGTAATCAAGACCAATTTATAAAAATAACTTTTTAAATATTCTTAAATGACTTTTTACTGGAAAAAATGTCTAACTGAACTATTTGACATAGTATTTCACATAGCATGGTGAAGTTAGATCAGTTTATGTGTATTTACAGCTGCTATTTCCCACTATTGTGCACACAATACTCATTGTTTTTTTCTTTGACCATACTGGGATTTCAGCTTATTGAAATAAGGATGTGAATAAGAGAAGGCTGGAAAGAGACCCAGCTTCTAGTAATTTCAGTGGTATTTTTACAGTACAGTATGCGTTTTTTTTGTTTGACTAGCTTTTTCAGAGAAGAGGTGAAAGCAGGTGTTTATTCCACTTTTGCAGAAGTAAGAAATGATCTTACAAGAACTAGACAGTGGATTTTTTTGTAAAAGAAGCTTCTTCTCCTAACTTTCAAATAAATAATGGAACTATTCCAACCACAGCAGTCGTAACATCACTTTCCATTATTGTGGCCACACACAATGTAGACAAAAGCAAAGGGGAGCCATATATTGACATATTCCTTTAAAAATGTATTTTATCTGAACACGACTTTTCTGCCTGGTCAAAATGGCATTTGTTTTGGAAACTCTCCCTTATCAGAGTTGTTGTTTGTCAGACATTCCTAAAAGTCCTTATGTACCCACATATTAAACATGATTCAGAAACCAAAGATCCAAACTGTTATACACTGTAAGAACCAGACATAAATCAGAATACCTGAAATTCTTACTTCTCAGCTACTGCATACAGTTTACAACCAAATACTTCAGCATACTCTAAATTTCTCCTCATCCTCCTCTTCATTGCCTTTATTAGTTCCATTAATGGTAACTGTCAGTTTCCTTAATATTTAACATTTCACAATTTTTGTCACTAAGCAAGTTTTTGTGTATTTTGTTAGGAATACTGATACATGTTTAGAGAACTTTTGAAGCTTGCATTTGTGTAAATATATTAAATAACATTTAAAATTCAACAAATGAGCCCTGCAAGTAGTAGTATTTGTTGCCTTTCTCATTGTTCCCAACGTGTCAATTAAAATCAGCTGTTGATAAAAACATTGTGCTTTTTATTCATGTTATATAATTTTCCAAAGTAGGTTTCACGAGTGTGTCATTGTCTTTTCTGACCTAGAATCTTATTAAGCTAAATTATAACCTGGATGCCCCAATCCTCTCCATGGTTAGAGGTTGGATTCCCATTAAAATGTGGATTATATATTCAAAAGAATGACAGGAAATAAGATATACTCTAATTTAGTGTACCTTAAAAAGTAACAAAAGATATAAAACACTTGATCACACAGATTCTGCTAACAAACTTCTACACACATTCTGTTAAGATGTTATTAATGGTGTTATAAACCGTCATAAGCTTATTAATCATTGCAACGGGGTATAGTCATGATCTGGGGTTTTATTACTAAGATCAAATTAATTTACAGTACATCTATGGCTATTTTGATCTTTATGTATCAATATTAATAATTTATAAAGGGTTTACAGCCTGTAAAGTTCAACACTCAAATGATTGGTATTTTTAAAGGCAGTACAAGTTGTGTCTGTAACAAAATGACTCATTCAGTTTTTCACGTAACAGCAAAAGTAACCATAGGCAGCATTCAGTGCTGCAGCTGTGGTATTTTGCTTCTCTAGCTTCTAAAGCTTTCCTGCTCTCCTTTCAGAAGACATTTGTCAGAGACAAAGCCATACTGTGCATGCTTCTGCTTTCACTATGCTGGCACACAAATATTTTTGTGCCTCAGGCAGCAAAAGTAGGCCAGAAAACATGCTAAATCAGTCATATGTAAACGAAGGTGTCAGGGCATTGTCTATAATAACATCATGTCAAGCATTGGAACAGTAAATCCCCAAGCTGGACAGAGGGAGAGGATGTACAGTACAGATCTGTTTTTTGTGAGGACTCACTACTTCACGGGCCCAGCCATGCTCACAGGATGAAGGGATTCTGTAGGAATACATTTTCATGCAGTACAATTAGTTGACTCTGATCTTTTTAATAGAATGATGGTGTTCACTCAAGCATTACAGCAGTACATATATTCCCCAGTGACTA